AGGCACGTCGGGCTTTGGCCTGGATGTGGGAGGCCTTGAAGGGACTTTGGGGCAAAGGAAGAGGGATGGCTGGGGGAGGGGGTGTTCCCAGGGCTTGGAGGGGACCTGTTTTGCTGTGGGGACCCACTGTCCCCTCCACATAGTTAAAAGAACAGAACAAAACAACACATCATATATATTTACCAGACCAGAAGCGCTGACCCCGGAAGTCTCCCTTACCCCCATCCAGGGGGAGGGGGAGAGATCCTCTTGGCCAACTGACAAAGAGAGAGGAGAGAGCCTGCCCCAGCCCCTCCCTGCCCACCCCGCCCCCAGAAAGGACTGACAGAGAGTGCTTTGCATAGATACAGAGTCAGAGGAGCGGGGCCAAGGAGGCCCTCGCAGTGGGGAGAGGGGCAGAAGGACTCCCCTAGCCCCTCCTGGAGGCTGTGAGGAGTGGGTGTTCGGTCAGGGTTTCTCTGGGTCGGGGCTCACAGGTCGCTCTCGCCGTACAGGGCTGTGGAGAAGGACTTATAGTCGAGGGCACCAGGCACGGCATCAGGGCCCTGGTACGGCGCCATGCGGGCGATGCAGTACTCAGCCTGGTCGGGGGGCAGCTCTCTCCGCAGTTCCTCAGCTGTGATGAAGTTCTGCGGGCGGCACGGCAGGACTCTGGGCCACCCACACACACACACAGGCCCACCCAGCCCCTCGTGCTCCATCCTGGTGGTAAGGGCCCCTCCCAGGTGTCTTGCTTACCTTGTCCCCTGCCAGGACCTTGAAGGAGGCGATGACCTGGTCGGCTGTGTCTGTGTCAGTGGTCTCTCTTGACATGAAGTCGATGAAGGCTTGGAAGGTCACAAGGCCGCTGTGGTTGGGGTCAACCACGCTCATGATGCGGTTGAACTCGGCATCGCCCTGTGAAGGGGGTGGGTGGGGGACAGGGTCCTTTGAGAGGGGCAGGGTGGCCAGGCCCAGCCCGATGGATGCTCTCTGGATAGAAGTGGGCCAGGAAAGCGGGGCCTGACCCTGGCACACACGCCACTGAGGGTCGTGGCTGCCTGGGCCAACAGTCCCATGCGCCCCAGGCCTGGGATGTGCACCCTCCGGTCCTCCCCTCCCACATTTCTGGGAAGTGGGGAGTTGGGGTGTGGATCAAACAGGTTTACTGCTCCTCAGCCCCGGGCTCACAAGTTAGCTCTGGAGGGTGGGGAGGAAAGAAAGAAAGAAAGAGAAAGAAAAGGGGAGAGAGCCGGAGGCCTGACCTCCTCTCCCCAGACACTTCCAGGAAAGGAGGTGGGCGGCTCAGGGAGTCATCGGAGGGACCCCAGCCCAGCAGATGCAGCAGAGGAGGAGGAGGGAGGAAAGGCCGTGCTGCTCTGGTGGGGGAGTGTCCCCGAGGACGTGGAAACTCTGGAGACGAGGCGGTGAGGAGGAGGGAGGAGGGGGAGGCGGCACGAAGAGGAGGAGGGAGGGAGGGGAGAGGAGAGGCACAGCAGCAAGGGGGAGGCAGAGGCTGCATACCAGGCTGTATCCTGTGGAGATAAGCAGAGCCCTGAAGTCATCGGAGTCCATGCTGCCTGTCTGCTTCTGCTCGAGGACGCAGGGACAGCAGAGGAGGCCGGGCCCAGAGTAGGCAAGAGGGGCCGCCCCATGTGCACAGCAGGGAAACAGGACAGTGGCAGGGAGCGGGGGAGATAGAGGCGGTCCCGAGAGACCAGGTAAGGGGGAAGGTGTCCAGAGAGACACAGGGAGGGAGGAGGCAAGAGAGCCGGTGAAATGGCACACATGATGGCAAGGGGTGGGATGGCCGGGGGGGAGGGGAGACAGAGAGAAGGAGAGAGAGAAAGAAGAGCAGTTAATGCCACAGTCCGCTGGGGCCCAGGGGCGCGTACCTGCCGGTCATTCTCCACGTCGTAGCCCAGGCTGATGAGGCAGGCCTTGAACTCCTCTGGCCCCAGCGCCCCGCCGTGGTCCTGCCGGGCGGGCGTCCGAAGGCAGGTATGTACCAGGGGTGGTGTGGAGACCAGGCCGGCACAGAGATGGGGAAAGGGGCCAGGGTCACATGCAGAGGGCAGGGTGGGGGACACACATGTGGGAGGGAAACACAGAGTTAGAGGTGACGTGGACAAGGTGATGGCCAAGGTGGGGCAGGTGGAAGGACGTAGGTGGCCTGGAGGGCAGTCAGAGGCCTCCTCCCACCTCCTCTGGGTGGGAGCCGAGTGGTGCTTGATTGAGGCTTGAGTTCCAGGACTCCTGGGAGGGAGCGGGGAGCTCTCCTGGCCTCCAGGATGTGGGGTAGGATAAAGGGGATTGCACGCCCTCCTACATGGGACCTTAGGCCCCTGCTCACAGAAGGCAGCCAGATGACACTTCAGGCCCAGCAAGGCAGGTGGGGACGGGGGCAAACTAGCACTCAACATCCTTCTAAAGGGGCTGCCAGACCAAATCTGAATTTTAAGAACACAGTGTGTATGTGTGGACCCGATTCCCGGGTGTGCTGGGACCTAGTCTGTTCAGGGTTGCATCAGCAGGTTGGCAAGGATGCACAGCCCCAGGGGCAGGGCTTGGGACCACCCTTTGTCCTCCCGAGGGAAGCTGCCCACGCTGCGGGTCAAGGTGACACTCCTCTGTGCCCCCTTCAGTGGCTGGGGCCTGGCCAGCCCCTGTGAGTGGCCTCTGATACTCAGCAACTGTGATGTGAATGGATGGACAGATGCAAAGACGGAGAGGGCGAGGTGGGAAGTGACAGTGGGGAGGGAAGACACCAGGGGGTGGAGGGAGCTGCTCACCTTGTCAAAGTGGTTGAAGGACGCCCGGAACTCCTGCATCTGCTCCTGGCTGATGCCCTTGGCATCGCGGGTGAGGATCTGGTTCTCCACCTCATTGATGGTGCGGGCGATGGTGGTGAGCAGCTGCTCCCAGCCCACGCGAATGTGCTGGGGAGGGAGGAATGAGGGCGTGAGTGTGGGCTGGGCCAGGTGGGTGGGGGTGCTGGGATCACTGTGGCTATTGCTGAGGGGGGCTTGGAACTGGGTTCTCCTCACATGGTGGGGGGTGGGTGTGTGGCCGGAAATCAGGCTCACCCTAACTCTCTCCCAAATGCCAACCCTGCCCCACCCATGCTCTCCCATGTGGCTCATCTGCACAAGGGGACACGGGTACGGCGCCTGCCTACTGCCTCCGCCAAGCAGTGGGGTTGCCATCACATTGGTATATGTCCCAGTGATGGACGGGCAGAGGACTGCGTCCTGATACCCGTGCCAGGATCCACACGAAAACTGCAGAGATTGTTGGGCAACGTTTAGCTTTCTGGGGTGGGAGAAAACCCACATTTTTTTGGTGGTATCTTTGGATTTGTATGGTGTTAAGAGCTATCACCATGGACAATTTCAGGCTACCAATGTGATGACAGCCAGCCCTGACACTTTAACCCTGTGGCGCTCAGCTGGTGTTCAGGACTCCCGCATATGCTGGTTGGATCTGTGTCAGGTGAGGACAAAACTGCTGAGGCCACACGGGGAGCAGGCGCTGCCCACCCTCACAGCTCCCTTGGGAGCTTATCCTGCTGCTGGAAGAGGGAAACTACTTTTTTAAAAACACGTAAACATTTGGTCTAGTCTTTTCAGTTAGAGTGAAAGAGAAGACAGCAGGCAGCCGACACCTCTTCTACAGGCACAAACCATTTACAATAAGGCGGCCTGGCCTGCACTACTTCACGTCAAAGGGAAAGCTGGGTCGGGGCGTGTGGTGGGTGTACCTCCATGGTGTAGTTGGTGTGCTTGTTGTCGAAGATGAGGGCCTCCTGGATGAGCTGGTGCTGCTGCTCCAGCAGGTCCAGGTTCGGCTTGTAGTCCACGATGCTGCGTTCGTACTGCTTCAGGTGGCTCAGCTGGTCCTCCAGCGTCCCGTTCATCTCGATGGAGATGCGCCCAATCTCCTGCACAGAGGGTGGTGCTGCTGAGGGGCAGAGCTGACGGACACTCGGCCACCACCAGGAACAACTCCTGTTGCTGGCCATCTCACTGCCGGGGTGCCTCCAGCTTGGGGCCTCTGCCCAGGGGCCCCCTCCTGGAAGGCCGGCTGTCCCCTCCAGTCCCACCCTCTAGTGGAACAGCAGCCACGATGCAGAGTTTCTGTGCCAATGCTTCTCAGCTGTAACCTCACTGCACCCCACTTGACTCCTTGTGAGGCCCAGGACTAGGACATGCCTATTCTGCACAGATGGAAACTGAGGCCCAAAAAGGGCAACTTACCACAGT